AAAGATGATTTCATTGCTTTATCGGCATGAAAACGTATATCTGAATCAGTTACGTTTTACTATAATATCTCTTGCTCTCCGAAGCTGATCAGTTCTGTTTTTGAATCGAATTCATCAAACACGCCTCTTTTTTTATAGCTATACCCGCACTTCGCTACTATCATAATCATTATCTTACCGTGAGCCCACTTCACAAACTACTCAGGCTTATCGGTCCTTGTCGTTACGACTATCTTACGGTAAGGCTTTAAATGCGTAAATGCCTGTGATATCATCTTCTAACTAGCGCTAAAATTCGAAGAGTAACATTCGGTATCTAAATGACGATACATTGACGATTGGATGACAATACAACCAAATGAATTTGAACGATATCGCTAATTGGAAAAAAGCAATTGTGACGATTTTCTGCCCTAGGAAATTGTATGAAGAAACAGTTGTTTGTTGTAAACGGCAGCAAGTTTCGATTTCTGTGCTCATCAGAGGATAAAGAATATTTTCATTCATCTGAAGACCGAAGCAATGCTTGAAACGTCTGATATTGAATGGCAATGAACTGAAGTGAAACTTGTGGATACCCCAGTCGATTTTTGCTTTGATTCGGCTGCAAACATTGAGATGTTTTTTCTTTGAAGTTTAAAGACGGTGGTGACATAACAAAACCGATTATTGGTCGATACTGTAACAGTCGACGTCCAGAAGGACCGATCGTGTCGACAAGTCCGAGAATGGTTATTCAGTTCCACTCGAATCAGACTGTGAATGGGAAAGGCTTCAAAATATCTTATACTTCGAGTCAGTCTTTCGTGATTGTTATTATTTGTGTGGACAATTCATAAACCAATTGTATTGGTTGGTTGGGATGTTGAGGAATTCGTAATTTCGTCATACAAAGAATTCGCAAACAAAGGAACAGTATTTGTATACTGCACCAACTGCAGGTTTTTTGTAAGCAGAAAGCATCGTGACTGTCAGCAAAATGATGATTCATTTGCACGCGGATATCATGACCTTTCACTGCCACATTCTTTCAGATGTACGAACCAATAATCAAATTAAGCTACTGGACAATTTCTCACCGCATGACTTTGACACCATTGAAGTTCCCTCCCCTTACAGTCTCATTTTTCAGTTGAGTGATAGCTCTGCCAAGGTAGGAAATTTCAGCCTGTGAGAAGCACTTCAATCAGATAAACGGAACAATTCAAAGTCCAAACTATCCGGACGGTAGCGCACGTGCATTCAAGTGCACTTATGTGATTGATGCGCATCGAACCAAGGCCATACGTTTACGTTTCAAGTTCATTGGATTGAAGCTGGATGTGCGATCGTGCTTCTATGATCAGTCGAATCAGGACACGCGTCGCGATTACGTCGAAGTTTGTCTGCATTTCAACTTGTTCATATAAATTACAAGAGAGGAATTCATGCCCATAGAACACCATTCACACGGCTTCATAACAAGTGCTTCTTTTTGTCCCATTTTTAAAAAAAATTCCATTTCCTTCTTGAAATTCACTCATTTCATCCATTCCGTTCCTGCTTTCTCGACTGTGCCAATCCATCAAAAGAATAGACACTGACTTTGTTCTCTCGCAGATGGACGATAGAGTGGCAGCTCAGTTGATAAGTTCACAAATTCATCCGAATATTCAAATGACCATTGAGGGCTCTGAAATTCACTGCCTGTTGCATCGACGTTGTTAGAGAATGATATTGTCGAAAAATTTTCAGTTTTCTGGCGGTCACGATTCACACAGTCAGATCAATAAACGATATTTCTGCGCTCGTTATCCGTTTATCGCTCCTGATGGCGAGATTGTAAGTTTACTTAATGATTTACGCGAAACGTTGCGGATATAACAAATCATGATTTTCACCTGTGATGAACTGTTTGGTATTCCGAGTTTTGCTCATTGCTCAAATGTCGAAAATTTCAATCGGATTTTCTCACTGAGAGAGTCATCTTAGGATGTTTTTCCTCAGTGGCTGAATGCTCTTGCAGGTAACCAGTGCGTCCAGGCCACTGAAAATCATC